CTTTCTTGTAGGGTTTCGGTAGGTATACGGTATTTACTCGGTTACAAACATTTCACTGTAAAAGCTACAAGTTCAACTAAAACCTTGCGCTTGAATCAAGACTTTTAATTTGAACTATCAATACATCATAAAGCTAATCTTACGAAATTTTTATCATTCTATATGGTATGGGTTCTTATAGAGTTACGGTAACTGTACGGTATGAGGTTAAGATTCCAGAACTTGATGTTAATTGGCGCAGAGGGATTTTTGAAATGCTAATTGCACGATTCTAGAATTTTTGCGTTTTTGGATTGTGCATTGCGAACTAGCACCGATTTAGATTTTTTGAAGATTTTTCAAAAAGTATAAATAATTCAGAAAGCCGTTTTCCAAAATGTCGATTTCACTATTTCGAATGTGATCGAAATGAGGAACAATTCAGTATCCGAAATGACTGATGCTCTACAACAGATAAGCACACAGGCAAGAAGTTAGTGTTTACTCGGCACTTTTGTACCTCATACGGTGCTTTTGTCACAAGCTAATTTCGTTTACAGTAGTCGTCGTGTGTCTAAACAGTCCAGACAACAAACGATCGTTTATGCTATCAGCAAAGGATCAAAACATGCTGAATGATGAATACATTTACATTTTTGCAGATCTGTTGGATTCTGGATATAGTAAGAATTTTCAAGAATAATGATTAATTGAGAAAAGATTGAATTTTCAGAAAATGCAAATACTGGAAACCGTACCATTTACGTTTGGCAAGATATGGCACTGCCACCTGATGGCCGCGATCAAGAAGCATTGGAAGCGTTCACAAGAACGTTTATGCTCAGTGATGTAAGAATTTAGGACATTGCTTGAGCAAATCGAGTTTCTGGGAATCCCATGTGGGTACTGATTGGGAGGCCTTAGTTAACCCATTGCCCGAGCGGCAGCTCATATGCTTCATTCGTGGTCGAAAAATTCAATCTACAAGCTTAGCCCACACCGTAACTTTTCCAAGTGGTGTACG